TAAAGTAATATATCATTCATTATATATTTTAAAGTTCATCTCTCTCAAAGAATGGGGATCTTATCCTTTTTTGCTCAAAGATCTCGAGGGATATGAAAAGAAGTTTAATTATTATGATTACATTGAATCATGGAATAAACTTCTCCTCTATCAGGATGAGTCATTAACTCATTCCTGGTTCATATAGTTCGATAAGAATTTCAAAAGCCAGATCCCTGCCTGGTTTGCACAGTGGTGGCTTCTTCATGGCCCCATACCTGAAATTCTACCCCTGGACCTACAAGATCAGGTCACCTATTTTGCCTCTATTTATAAACCTAGTTATTATGATAGAACTCATTTTTCGAGTCTATTAATATTCTTTAGTAAATATAAAATTCCCTGGATTTACAAATGGTCTTGGGAAATTTGTTCTAACTTTGTTTGCAGGCAATCCAGTGTAAAATGGTGGTCAAGGTTCCAGCATGATCGCATTATTGCCCAAGTCAAACAGGAGTTTCCTGTAAAGATCCCAGCACCAGTTACAGTATCAATTGTTGCTGCAATCCTTCCAGCTTTAACTCCACCACCAACAAAGGCTATGCCAGCCCTTAGGATTTCCACTCCAGAGCAGCCCCAGGCATCTGAAAAGCCTCCAAAAGCCAAAACCAAGCAGAAACAGTCCTCCTCTAAGGACTCTACTAAAGTCACAGGCTCCTCCAAGCAGCCTAAACCGAAGTCTTCTGAGCTCCTTGCTATGGCTAAGAAGCTTCTTCAACAAGCAGCCAGTAGTGGTTCGTCTTCACCAGCATCCTCCACAGGCTCAGTCAACCCATATGCCAATATGGATCCAGATGCCCAAGATCCATATGCTGATTGTGATGACCTCACCCCTGACCTGGCCTCCCCATGATTCTTTTCCTTATGCGTGATAGCTTCAATCACTACTTTTGTCAAAGAAAGAAAAGTTGTCTATTGCGTATAATGTCAAGATATCAATTATTCATTCGGTCCTTTCCACTAAGTAAAGCACCGACTGTTCCCATCAAATCTGCTTTCTCCACCGAAAGTAGATTTCTTTTGTCAGGAGCAGGGACCCACCTAGCACTCTGCACCATGTTTCAAACATCAAGACCCACCTAGTGTCCTTTAGTCAAAAGTCACCCAGAGTTAAAGTAATTCACCCTTGCTTTTCCACCGAAAGTTGAAGTGAAATGTCTTTACCTTTGGTTAAAGCAAAAGAAGAAATCATTGCAAGAGATTCCCTAAGTAATCTCTATGCCTATAAAATGGTTGCTTCATTTCAGTTAGAAGGCAGAGGTTTTTTGAAACCCACACTACACACCAGAGAACAAATTCTCTCCTACCTTCACAAGTAAACCTGTATTCTGAGATCTCTCATAATGCAAATGAAGAGACTCTCACCTATTCTCTTTCACTACTAACTCATTTAGTGCTAGTATTGTAAGTATTTTATTTCTGTAATTTGTATTTATATCTTGTTCATTTAAACAAGAAATTTTTACAAGACAAAACATTATTTTGTCATTTATATTTCCATCTTGTGATTCTCCTTAAACTCACATGAATTCCGCATCTTGTTGTATATATATATATATAATGTGATTTTGGCTTGAATGCAAATTTCACACTTATCATTTTACTTATGCTTGTAAGAAATATATCCATTCTGACAAAAAAAATTTAAAGACTTGTAATTAAAATGTGCTAATCTAGCATGCTATAGGAACAATAATCAACAGTATAAGTAGATGAGGATACTTTTTATTTAATAATATTAAGATTGAGTTTGAACATCCCATCACTCGAATAACCCTTTCTAAAAAAGATCTCACTCTTAGATAGGATCATCTTATCACACTCTAGAACGACCTTAAAAATTTTCTTACATAACAGACTAGAAGATACAATATTTTTCATAATTTATGAAACATGTAGAACATCGATCAAAGTCAATTTCTTTCCAGAAGTGAATACCAATTCAATAGTCCTTTTTTCAAGCACTTCGCAGGATTGCAATTTTCTATTGACACTTGTTTATCAGTAGTACTTTTAATTGATCTTTGGCATTGCAAACATGGACAATAGCCCTAGTGTCAAGCCACTAATAATTAAATTTGTTGGATGTTGCCAAGTGCACTTCGATAGTCATACCAATTTTCACATTTGAGACCACAGTAATGAGATTTTTGATCTCTTCTTCCAACTATGATTTTAGTTTTTCAGAATTTGAATTTCCATTCTTTTCATTCTTACAGTACCTAGATTCACGAATATAGTGACATTTCTTTCCATAGTGAAAACATGAGACATTCTTCTTCTTGGAAATTTTATTCTTTTTAAATCCAAAATCCTTATACACCTTGAGATGTGTCTAAAATTTGTGATTTTTGTTAGACCCATTTTTAGATATATTGTTCACTTTAGAACTAAAATACACATCATCATGTTTTTTTGTTTTCTTCTTTAATCCTCAAATATTTTGATATTTGTTCCACAATAAAATCTTTTGTCATATGCATAATTTTCTTCCTACAATCATTCCAAGTAGAAGGAAGTTTGGCGACAATCGCCCTCACTTGAATTGACTCAGGAACTGTAACTATAGCTTCACGAAATCTATTAACAAGAACTTACAATTCATGCACTTGATCCATGATGGGTATGTTATTAGTCATCTTAAACTCGAAATATTTCATAATTAAAAATTAGTTTATAACTTTTTTCTCGGCATATATTTATATTCCAAGGCATTCTAAATTTCTTTTGGAGACTTTAGCGACACGTAGAGATCATACAATCGATTGGGCAATGTGTTCAGAATATAGCCTCAACAGACAAATTCATCTTCATTTCTCTTCTTTCACTCTTCCTTAACCTAGTTAGTGTTTTCTACTTTTTCTTTAAGAATTGGTTGTATAAGATCCTGTATACAATTTGAAGGTGGATAACATGTCATGTACATATTAATTTTATATTTAAATATAATGGTAAAATATATATCTATATTTTTTTCATCCTTCTACTTTTACATCTTATCAAACTCAAAAAAATCAATACTTTCTACTAGCTCTATCAATCATGTCGGGTGAGACAAATTCATGTTGAATCTCAGTGGGTTCGTGTTGAAAAGCACTCCATCCATACCCAAATCATTTATTAATTCGTACTAATGAGACCTAATTCATGTGTAATGAGTCATGTCATATCGGGTTCATGTTGTATATGAATCGTGTATAACTAGTATATAAATAAGTCGTGACATGTGTAAGAGGATAAAAATCAATGTACCTCCTAAGCTTTATGAAGACAAACTATCCCTCCTTGAAAGTGCTACCTATAAAAAGGAACAAAATGCCTAGGATCGAAGTGCTTCTATCAAAGGTACTCCGATCCTTAAGTCAGTAAATGTGTATGAAGAAAATGTATGTAAAAAGGATTCAACTTACCTCTTGCCATGCATCCTTACTGTTTTATATAGACTTTACTTTGCTTCTAGGATTCCCTTTACTGGTGTGGGAAATGGCACATCTGCCTTCACTCGGGATTGTTTCTTAGGGATCACAAAAATCTCTCTAACGCTCCTTTAATCACAGTTCTTTTGAATCATTGACTCTGCCTTGCTTTTGTACCTAACTTTCTAGATTATAAACAATTATTCCATTGTTTGGTTCATGTCAAGCCTTCAAATTGTGCTATCCACACGTGCTCAGTAGTATAAACTAAGTTGTTACAATTCGTTCGGCTTTTCCCAAGTTGCTAATACTTGCGCCCCACGTGACCTATCCCTTCATAATCACGTGTGTACTTCAGCTACCTATACACATGGCATAATTTTATGCCCCTTCACTTGCCCCCAGGAAACACATGTTAGCCTTCATTCGCCTAATAGTCATTTCATGTTTCCATATTCATCATTGCCTGGATTCTGGAGAAATGTATTATACTTGCCCTATCTCTTCGCATTAAACATATGTCCTTTGGGTTCCCTCTTCTTTGGCTCCTGCTCATTTTCTTTAAAAGGAAGTTCAAAATGACTTATCTATTTTTACCTCTCTTCGAAACTTTCACTTTACTTGCTCCTAGTTCTCCTGTTCATTCACTTCTCATCTTTCCAAATGGCTTCCCTTACACCAGAAGATATTCCAGCTTTCAGCTTCCTGATGATGTTCACATTCGAGTGGCTGGTGTTAATGAGCCATTGATTGGCACCAGGGAGTCGATTCCTATCCACACACAAACAGTCACTAGAGGTGGGTAAGATTTCCTCTACACCCACTACTATGGGGGCTCTCAGCCATGAAGCTATGGCCTATTTAGTGTTGTTCCAACTTGTTGGGTGTTGTTGCCTTAAATAACCTTCTGAATGTAAGTCTAGGTATCTGGGAGATCTTGTTCTGCTACATTCTCAAGTTAGCTAGTGACAACTACTACTTGGCAGTGAGGAGGAAGGATCAATACTTAGTAACCCACCTCCCCGATTCAAACAAGGGCCATGAAAATGATGTAATTTTTGTTTCTAGGAACTGGGAGTATGAGGTAGGAGATACCCCTTTTTACAGGTGCCCACATGAAGAAGGCATGCCAGGTATATGAACATAGTCCCCTTTGGATTTTTTGGACTCCAAACCCCTCTCTTTTTTTTACTAACTTTCCTCTATTCTTCTATATTTAGGGGAGATTATCAAAGAAAAAAATTCTTGAGCGCTCTGTGAAGAAAGTGTGGTCTTTCAACGAGAGTCTGTTCTGTCGAGCTGCCCATGTCCTTCTTGGATACAACCCTACTTATCACTCGTTCATTGCAATCCCTGAGCAAGCAAATCAGCGTGCTATTAACCCATGTTCTTGGCAAACATCTGTCATCCCTTCATTTGGAAGGAACAGATCAGTGAAGAATTTTCTACGTTTCCTTCCTTCAAGTGATCCCTCTAAATCCATCCCTTCAATTGTTCAAATTTTTGGATGATGTAACTCCTTTACTTGTCCCAAAAGTTGACCAGACGATTCCTTCTGATGATGCTTCTGAACCTGCTGAGACACAAGTCACTCGTGAGGCTTCAGTCCCTCCTCCTGAACCTATTTTCAAGGTGATACCTATTAATCCTTTAGTCACTTCCTCACCAACTCGGTCAGCTAATTCAGATGTGCAAATTAAGGAGCGTTTGGCAAAGAAGATAAGGATTGTGGATCCCCCTTCTGAAGTTCTTGTTGAATGGCCAATCCATGTCTTCTGTCCTATCCTAAAAGTGCAAGAAAAAGAAATATTTGTCCAGGACTTAGCCAACAAGGACATGAATGTCACAGTCAGTATAGCCTGTCTCGTGATCTTGTTGCGAATGAGCCAGTGTCTGATGATGAGATTACTCAGCAAGCCATCCAGCAAATGGTTCTGGTATTTGCATTACTTTTTTTTATTCAGAAAGGTGATCTTTCTTTGCATTTTGTATTCGATACATACACACTGTCAATGATGCTTTGACATTTTCGTTCCAACATTAAGCTCAAGCTATTTGCTGTTGATAGTTAGTTATTTGCACTATTGCCACCTCCCACTTTTCATTGAGTAAATCCAATTCTCAGTTGATGGCAGAGTTGTTACTCTCATTCATCGTCAAGTCAGTCATAAGCATTGGCAATCCAATTTCTAAGGGTATTACAACCTCGACGACATCAACGAGCACAAATGGAGTTTCCCCTATTACACGTCGGGGTGTGGTTCGATACGTCCACAATACACTGGGCAACTCTTCTACCCACCTCCCTTTTGCCTTTTCTAACCTTTTTTTGATTCCATCAAGGATAGTTTTATTTGATATCTCTGCCTACCCATTACTCTATGGGTAAGTAGGAGTGGAACATCGATCTTGAATTCGATACTGCTTACAAAAAGCTTTAAAGGGACCGTTCTCAAACTAAGTCCCATTGTCAGATACAAGAACTACTGGTATGCCTAACCATGTGATAATGTTCTTCCATACGAATTTTCTAGTGTTAGTGTCCCTTATATTGGCCAATGGTTCTACTCTACTCATTTTGTAAAGTAGTCGGTTGCAACTAGCAGAAACCGCTTATTCCCTAGAGCTCAAGGTAATGGGCCAACTATGTCAAATCCTCACAGGGCAAAAGGTTAAGGGCTTGTTAATGGGAGAAAATCTCGTACGAGTTTCCTAGGAACTTGTGAGAACCCGTGTGTGATATAAATATAAATGATATTAACTTGCTATAATTTTTAAAATAATTAAAATGATGAGAGAAATTTTGAATTATTGTTAAAGGAATAGTCGCGTAAATTTGAAGTACGAACATATTGACCTTTGGGTCAAATTTAATTTTTGGTGATGTTTAAGGTTGATAAGGGTAAATAAATAAATATATTAATATTTTTATATTAAAATAACATTACCATTGAATCTGGGAGGTCCAAAAAATATGGAATAGCCATAGCGGTTCGAAGTAATTTTAGTGTTTCGGGTGTAAATTAACTTTAATTTTGAGATAAATCATAAAACTAAATGTTTTTTGGTTAAAATAACATTAAAAATGAATTCGGAATGTCAAAAAATCTTAGGATAGTCATATGGATTAAATTAGAATGTTTAGTAATAAAATCGTAATTTCAGAGAAAAAAATGTATTTTTCAGCCCATGAACAGTGGATTTTGGGACTGTTGTGTTTAAAACACAGATTTCAGCTCCTTTTCTTCCATTCTTTCATTCCACTCTCACCCAAAACCTTTTAGAACCCTAGGAAAAGATAATGGGAAAGAGAAAGGGGAAGAAGAAGGCCTCCAAAACTTAGGTCTTACTTGGAAATCCTAGGAACTTGGCTTGGAAATCTTGAGTTCTAGGCAGAATTTTCCTTTCTCTTACATTTACATTGTGCATCTCATATATTTTCTTTATTTAAAGCTGACTATGTGATTGATGGCAAAATTCTTGTTATAAATCTTGATTTAGTGTTGAACATGCCATGCATTTGTGAACCTACATGCATAAAAATGATTTTTAGTGTGGTGGGTTTCAAACCCTAGTTTGATTTTAGTGATGAGTATTTGATTAAATCTATAATTTGGGGGATTTTGAAGTGTGTTATGATCTTGTACACAATATATATCACTTATTTTCTTGGAATTGGTTATGTTGCTTTGAAAATGCAAATATTGAGATTTGAGTATACTATATGTTTTGATAAAATGTCAAGGTTATGACATGGGTTTTCAAAAGGATTTATGGATATAGAAAATAATAATTTTTGAAAAATATATGCTCGATATTGACAGGTAGAGGGTTAATAGACGATTGGAGCCTATTGAGTGGGTTGTCAAGGCGGCTACTAGTCCCAAGGTGGATTGGTTATGGTAGTGATTTTCGGTGATGGCCTATGTGGCGTTACAAGTTGTGCCCTACACGTTTCCCTTGAAAAGCAAGAAGGACGATGAGAGCCTAGGGTTCAAAACCCAAAAGTTTTTCCAGTGATGGTTCATGCGTGAACCGATGTGATTGATTATATTGTCCATATGCGAGACATGCATGATATTTGCTATGATGGTTTGGCTTTAATTTATACCTTGTATATTTCTAATGTTGAGGTGTTGAGAGATTTTTATAAATGCTTTATTTATTATCTTGTACCTGTATTTAATTATAGAAAGCTTTCATTACTTATTTGTATGATTTGTGGAATGTTAGTTTTTAAAAATTTGTAAATGCTTGAGAAAAGGATTATCCTACTAAGCGCGTGGTTGCTCATCCCTTACTAATATTTTTAGAGACTAGCATGCATCCTGGGACATAAGTGATGGAATGCTTGTGGGAAAGAATCTCTTTTGGAGCTTTTTTTGTATTTACCTTTAGAACTTATGTAGAAATGTTAGCACTCAAGCATTGTGTTTGAAAAGGTTGCCTTGAGGCATTTATGGTGTATATTTGATCATCCCATAGAGGGATTATTATTTTGGGTATTGTAATTTAAAGTTATGAATTTGAGTACTAAGTTGTGGTATATATTGATGTTAGATGTATCCGGATTTGGGAGGACTTCGTGGGCCTCTAATTGCCACCCCGAATTTAGTTGGATTATATTTTTGGATGTTTAGTTAGTTTAAATTATGTTATGCTCTCACGGGGATGCTCTTACTAACTGATTGGAAGCTCAATTTTCAAAGAAAACTCTTCCAAAATTTTCAAAAAAAAAAATTTGATTTATTTCAACTAAAGAGATACTTTCCTAGGTGTTTTTACAACATATCGGCATGTCTTTCTTTTTAAAATAAATAAAGTATTTGTTTTAATCACGCTTTTATGAAATTTGGAGCTTGACAAGTTGGTATCAGAGCCTAGGTATTAGGTCTTATATGGGAGCTGTAGGTAATTGGATAATCCAAATATGGTCCCAGCACATAAAGTTTTTGAAAGTCATTAGGCTTTTGAGGGTAATTGAAGGAAGTGACGTATCTCATAAACTCAACTATTTCTCTAGAATGTATACGTTCGAAACAGTGATCTAAAGGCTAGTTGCATGTGTAGGATGGAAGCAAGTAGAGGACGTGGGAGACCACCCCGATGAGAGGGAAATCAAGTACCGCCACGTCAAGACACTATGAATGGTATTTACCAATGTTTGAGGGAGCTCACTACAATGGTACAACAACAAGCCGAGAACAATAACAACCATACTACCACCACCCAAGCTCAAGCTCAAGCTCAAGTGCAACAATTTGGGGGTGACAGTAAAAGGATGATGGTTCTTAAAGAATTTATACGACAACGCCCTCCTACCTTTCAAGGAGGCCTGGATCCACTTGAGGCAGAGATGTGGCTTCGACAAGTGAAGAAAGTGATGGATGGCATAGATATTGCCAATGACTTGAGATTTGGTCTAGCTGCATATCTTATGGAAAGGGAAGCTAATCATTGATGGGAGTCGGTAAAAAGAAGGAGAAATGTGGAACAAATGACTTGAAAAATTTTTGAAGAGGTTTTCACTGGGAAGTACTTTTCCCGAATTAGTGATATAAGATGACATCCGACTTCATGGCACTTCAACAACGTAACATGACAGTCACTCAATATGAGTCGTGGAGCTCTCCCACTTCGCTACATAGTATGTATCGACTGAGGCCAAGAAGGTCAAATTGTTTGAGAAAGGTTTGAAGTCATCTATTCAGGAGAAATTGGTAGCTCTTCACATTTGTGACTTCGGTGAATTAGTTGAGCGGGCTACCCTAGTGGAAAGAGATTGGGAGGAAACTCAAGTCATCCGAGAACGCCGCCAACATAGGAAGAGTCAATCCAAGACTGGCAGTGGTAGTGGTGGGCGTTACAGGGATACTCCATACCATTGTCCAGAATGCAGTATGGGTCAAGGGATTGAGTCAAGCTATGCACAAAGTTTGAGACCAGGAGGCCACGTTGAGAGAGTGCTGACACACTTGAAGCGGTGTTATGGGTGTGGTGGCATGGGTCACCTCAAGAGTCACTGCACTTCAGTAGCTTCTTCACCACAAGAACAGAGTAGTATGGATGGCATGGATATTGCCAATGACTTGAGAGTTGGTCTAGCTGCATATCTTATGGAAAGGGAAGCTGGTCATTGGTGGGAGTCGGTAAAAAGAAGGAGAAATGTGGAACAACTTGGGAAATTTTTGAAGAGGTTTTCAGTGGAAAGTACTTTCCCAAATCAGTGAGAGATAAGATGACATCCGACTTCATGGAACTTCAACAACGTAACATGACTGTCACTCAATATGAGTCGTGGAGTTCTCCCGCTTTGCTACAGAGTATGTATTGACTGAGGCCAAGAAGGGCAAATTGTTTAAGAAAGGTTTGAATCCATCTATTAGGGATAAATTGGTAGGTTTTCGCATTTGTGACTTCGATGAATTAGTTGAGCGGGCTACCCTAGTGGAGAGAGATTGGGAGGAAACTCAAGTCATTCGAGAATGCCGCCAACATAGGAAGAGTCAATCCAAGACTAGCAGTGGTAGTGGTGGACATCACAGGAATACTCCATACCAACGTCCAGAATGCAGTATGGGTCAAGGGAGTAAGTCAAGTTATGCACAAAGTTCGAGACCAAGAGGCCACATTGAGAGAGTGCCGACACACTTGAAGTGATGTTATGGGTGTGGTGGCATAGGTCACCTCAAGAGTCACTGCCCTTCAGTAGCGTCTTCACCACAAGGACAGAGTAGTATGGGATTTTATTAGCAATCCACAAAGCTACC